ACCAAGAATAGTCATCACAATATCCCAGAGAATGGTAGAGTGTGGAATAGTTTTACAATGCTTTATGTAAACAAAGGGAGCATGTAGATTTTACATAGGGAATCTGGACACAGTTGTGTAGAGTTCTCCATATTCTTAAGCAGACTACGTTAACAAATCCATTTTTGAACACAATCACAATGTAAAAGTAGAGACAACCTGCTGCATTCATTGTTGTTGTACATATATAGATAATTGGCTGACCACGTTATATTGGACAAATCATTAGGGAGCTATTTCCTCCATTATTCTCCCTTATTCAAATAGAGGAGAATTCTACTTTTTAATTGGCACCAGTTGTCTGACCCTGAATACTGCCTTAGACAGAAAATATAATCAAGAACAGAAATGTAGGGTAGAAAATGCCTTACCAGTTAAGAACACTGAATATTCTTTCAGAGCATCCAGCTTCCATTCCCAGTACATATAGATGCTCACTACTATATATAACTCCAGTGTCAGGGATTCTGACAAATCTCCTGGTCTCCCTGACCACCATAAGAAGATGAGACTTAGACCATAAAGATTATATTTCAAGGTGTGTGTGGTAGTGCACTCTTTTAGTACCAGCAATCTGGACACAGAGGCAAGAAGATCACAATAAGTTTTGAAGCCTATGCTACATACTCTACACACACACATACACATACACACACAGTCACTGGAAATGAACAAAATTGAATAAAATAATGGAATAGGAGCATTGGAGAATAGGGACAATACAATAACGATTAAAGTCATTTCAAGTGTCTGCCACTGGTGCTCATGGAACCATGTTCAAAAAAAAGTATGGTTCTAACATGCAAGCACATTCCATTAATCCTAGCCACTGTGGGAAACTGAACATTTGACAGTGATTCAAAACCTGAACAGCCCATCACAATCTGAGTGTTATCAGACCCACCAAGTCATAAAAAAGGACCTGCACAGCAGCCATCTCCTATCAAGTGAAAGAAGTGTCTTGCAGATCAGGTCCAAGCAGGTCATGAAGGCACAAGCAAGCTACATGAAGAAATTCCCCAAATGCCTATGGATTCTACTTCTGGTACAATGCTTTCTGCTGTCAAGCATGAACCTACAGCCTCCTGGGGTATTCCCTATGATTGGCTGACTGAGGAAGAGAAGACTAGGGTGGAGTTTAATGATGTTTCTGTATATCATGAAGGCACCACCCAAAAATGGACAGCTGTAGCATTTCAACCTGATTCTGGGACAAGCCTGAAAGAGAGTAGTGAAGGGAAATCTACACAGTGGGCAGTAGGTCAG